TTGACCATAACGGCAAGAAGGAACTGCTCGAATACTGGGAGTACTGGGGTCTGCACCATACGGCGCATTTGCTGGTGTTCCATAAAATCGAGGCCAAGGAACTCCTCAGTCTCTACAATGATAGTTGCCGATCATAGTGAATCAGAGTGAGGCTCATCACATTCCACTTAGGTTTCTTTTTTCATTAATGGCGATATCTCGCATAGATTCACTCTGAGTTGGATTTCCGCACGAAAATTCCTGGATTCATCAGCTGAGGTGAAGATTTTGGGAAACAAAGTCCCACTGCTTCACAGCTGAACGAGGAAAATACCCTTTAACCTTAATCTTAAGTTTAAGCGAACTAACAAGTGAAGAAGTAAAGCTGAGTTAATAAGATAACAAAAATTTCAATACCTGAAAGCTTTCTCAGACTGGATAACACCCGTTTAAACGCCGTTCGACCAGAAAACATGGGAGCGTCGGCCACTAAATGGTTGAATTTCGTGACTATGTATACGAAAATTCAAAGCAAAAAAATGAAAGGAAAACCACAAGTTGGGAAGGCTTGAAGGGAAACGGAGTCAGAAAGGCCCATGGCTAAGCCATAAGAATGGGCGAAGTATATTTACAGCACATCTAAAGCTCACTAAAAATGGATTCAAATGCTAAAGTACTCAAAATATCATTAGATTAAGGAAAAACAATGACAGCAGCAAGCAAGATCAAAAAGAACTTTAATCTCACAAATCAACTTGTAACGGGGTTCTTTGTCAAATGTAAACGTGATACAGAATAGACTAACAAAGATAATCATGAGATTTCGGTTTGAGCTGAATTAGACGGACAACGGATGAAGCTCTCAGCGTTGATCAATACCCAAGGGATGCGTTATGCATTCAGTTCCATTCGCAACATCACGGGATGGCCTACCGATGTACCAAGTCAGTGCTACTTACCCTCCCAGACAATTCTGGTACGAATCCTGGAAAGATGGAAGACTTGAGGAGCCAAGAGCGCCTAATCGAAACATCGGCCTTCTGACGAAGCAGAACACCTCTAACCACTGCGCTACATGGCCTAACATTTATCAAGAGGAGAATCTCATTTCGTCTCGGTTTTGCAAACGAAACATTTATTACTAAAACCAGCACGACTTCTAACATGAACAAAATAGGAAAATAAAAACAAATAATTCAAATTATGTCCTTTCAAAAACCTCCCAGACTACTCGAGGAGTCTCAGTTTTTGACAGCGTAGTCAAGTCAAGCCGTTACGCTTTCGAGAAAAGTCTACTTATGACTGATTAATAGACCACTGACATGCGTGGCTCAAAAAATGAGCACCAGGCATATTGAAATTTGAGCTGTGGTCTTAAAAAACACTCGAAACAAAATATATGATATCTTCTTATGACTGATTGTCTAGATCAACACATCAGAACCTCTACAAACCTCCCACTATCATAATACTACACCTCGTAGGTAAACTCAGAGTATTTGGATACTTGAATGACCCGCTTTCACTGATAGTGTGAACTCCGCATTGGGAAAACTGTGTTAGTCTAGCTATTTTCATCCCTGAAGTCTCGAGGTAAGCATAGCCCTGGACTTCCTCAGGTCGCCATCACATTACAGCAGTCGTCGGGTCTTCTGGATCAGAGAGAGACTATTATATTGCGACTACTAGCTAACAAGACCGTGTTCATTCCTGGTACGCGTTCACTCTTAGCTGGGCTTTCCGAGTGGAAACGTCAGACTCCTCGTCAGATTCAGTGGCCCTGCTGGGGGTTGAACCGTCGCTGTAGTTCGCAGTCCGACATCCAACACCTCCAGCCACGATAAGGCGATAAATCTGGGAGGTATCCACAGTACACTGAAGAGATACTACTATTCCTAGATAGGACTCAGACGCCACTGACCCACAACATGGCTGACGTAACTAAAACAAAGGGAAGGTTTCAAATTCGGGTTTTTTTTTATTGTGAGGGGAAAAATGAAAAACCAACCTCATTCGCTGGAGATGGACTTTTCATAGGAGTGTCAGCAATCATTCAAAAGCCTGGATTTCTGTTCAGAGCCCACGTGGCCGGGTTTTTCAAAACCCTCTTTAATGAGGCTGCATAATCCACACAAAACTATGTCTCAGACGTCTGCAAAGCAAGAAATCTCCTGTCTTAGAATCGTCAAAAAAAAAGCTTTTTCGAAAACGGGCGACTCGGGGCTGCCGCCTAAAGTCTCAGCTTTCGGACAGTTACTGACACTCCTCTGAAAAGGTCCTTTCCAGCGAATGAAATCGGTTTTTCTTTCGTCCCCTCATAATCAGAAGGAATCCAAATTTGCTTTTCTTATTGGCGTATTTTAAAATGCGAATACGCAAGAGATAACATCTGAAGCACTCAACGAGGTGACTGGGTATACATTTGATCTACACAATAACTTGCGGAGATCAATCAGTGCAACGAATAAGTATTCTCTATGCCTGGCAATCATTTTTTGAGCCACGCATGTCAGTGGTCTATCAAAGACGGCTGCCTTATAGAGCCCGATACACGTGTTTCGATCTTGCGATCTCGATGCGAGAAAGGGAACTGCCCGACTGATGAGATCGCAAGGTCGCAACACTTGTATCGGGCTCTATAAGGCAGCCCTCTTTGATAGAAGTATTCTCTATCTTCTCAACCTGATATGGGGCCTGGCCACCTACCTACGTACGGTGGGACGAACCGACAAGAATGTTTCTTATGAGGAGCACCTCTAACCACTGCTTCATACCCGTCAATGACCGAGAGTACGTCACACTTCTTCGAATTTCAGTGAAAGGTGAACGTCGATCGATGATTTAATAGTAGAGAGAGCTCCAAATACGCTGATCTCTCACTCTACTGTAATTCAGAGAAAAAGACCTTGAAAAAACCTAAAATTATTGAGAAATATCAAGCATTAAGGAGCATGGGCAATGTACAGAACCTCGTCCCAACTCATGGAGAGCCCCTTTGGTAGGTCATAAAGCGATCGATAAAGGGGCCAAGTTGAATTCGGCTATGATAGAACCAGAAACAAGGACGAGCAGATATCAAGGCGGTCGATCGTATGAAACAAAACTCGCTGCTCGGCTATTTTCGCGACGACTAATTTTCGCGAAGAGTGTGTAATTGCGGACAGCACGTCGTGACAGTTGTGAAATATGGTTTGACAAAAATAATTTAACCCTTTTAGGACCATGTGGTACGTTTCGTACCTCTCCGCGCGTCAAATCTCACTCAGGTACTGTAATGACGGCGTCGTGCTCAGTGAGAATATGTTGTTCCCGCACAGAGACGCAGATGCCGCCCCCTGCGAATGTCGCGCAAGCGACGGCGCCACGCCGCCTGCCTGTCAATGCTGGTCCTCAAAGGGTTAAGCATTTCATGAAGGGTTAAGCGCTCTGGTATGGCATGCCAGCTATAGAGTTACGTTTCGCCTTTCTTGCAAGCTTCATCAATAGCACATGCCATTCCGTTGATTGCTCATACTAAAAGCCGTTGCCAAAGGTGTGTCATTCCTCGTAAAGTGAAAAGATTACCTGATGTTTGAAGTGATTTCAGCTGATGGCTTGCATCTTGGAACACGGCATATTGCAGTACCTTCCAATCATATATATTGAGACCTCGCCGAACAGTACGTTACATTCTAATAGAACGAAATCCAACGACACAAAAGCGCATTGATAAAACGGCAAGAAGCCTCGACGCTATCAAAATGACAGAAACAGTCGAATTGAAACAATTTCCACTGGGCTACTTACCGTCAACTATGAAAAAGCCGACACCATACAAAGAATGTGCCATTTAAAAAGAATAGGTTCCTTTGAAAAATCGATACAGATCAATTCGTATGAGATTTATTCAACCTCATCACTCGCAAGAATAGCACTCATTCAAATCATTCAGGGAGAAGTCCTGAACAGGCGAGTCAGCCTCGTCAATCAGGCTGGGCTGCAAATGCGAACGAACATCGCAAAAGAATTCTTTGCATTTTCGCCATAGAAAAACTGGCTAAGAAATGCGGAGGGAAAAATCCCAGCTAAAATCTGAAGGAAAAAGTCTAGACGGAATCAGTATGTATATAATTTGAAGGACGTGGGTTGTAGTGGATATGAGGAGCGCGTGTGACGCAGTAATTAGAGCTACTCTGCGACGCACATGATCAATCTAGTGGTCGATGGTTCAATCCCGCGCTCAAGGCTCACCAAGCCTTCCAACCCTCCGAGGTGAGTGAATTGACATCAGAGCAGCACTGACCTGGTAGATCGGCAGGTCGCCGTGAGTTATTGTGAAGACCATACATGCATTCAATCACCTCAAGCGATGCTTGATGGAGTCGAATGCCTAGCGCATCCCTCAAGGATTGATCAGCGCCGAAATCTTTAACCTTTGCCTTCGAATGGATATAAACTGAATATGGAGACAGAGAAGAAACCGACTTATAGATACATCCTCTGGAATCGAGGGGAGTTGGTACATTAACCAAAAAATTGCTACGCATGGTTTATTCACCTTCCTCGGTAGCTTGCATTTCCTCTCCTCCTCCGAAAAGTACCGTCTACTAGGAACGCCCTCGTGCACCATTCCCCCATATGGGGGGAACTCAATAAGTATGAAGCACAGATTTCTGTCGGAGTAAAGCAAATCAACGTAAACGATAGGAGAGCAATAAATGTGGAAATGATTTAGAGAAGGTAAAAGCTCTTGAGAATGGAAAATTGATCTTGAAACCGCGTCTTTTTTATGGAAGTCGATGAATCAGTGGAGGTTCAAAGAAAAAAATCTGGAAAAAAGAGAAAATACAAAAACTCCATCGACGGGTTATACCCGTTCTAAGCAACAAGCAAAAGTCCATGAATTAATGTTTATTCTACACATCATGAAAAATCGCAACCTTACATCTCAAAACTCAACTAGAAATCTTTTTCATCAACCGCTTGTAGCAGTGGTATGATCTCTCGAATAGGTATACAATATTAGTGATATGCAAGACTTGGACGTCGAACGAGAATCGAACCCGCACTTCACCCTTTGCAGGGGCGCGTGCTGACCATTGCACTACCGGTGCTCGCCTTGCCATCACTATTTTCTCTCAACTCTTATATTAGCAGATATAATACAATCAGAAGTAACGAAAAAGTACACATAAAGCAGTAAAAGGGGAACAATTAGAGAATACAGCAGTTACAACATCTCTGTCAGGCATGCATTGACAAGGGCAAACGTCCTTTATTCAGACGTCCGTGTCAAATTTCGAACATTTTCCAGTAATCGAAGATCAAAATCCTGCATACAATTAGACATTCTCAAATGTACAAATCACTAGGAGTCATTAAACAGCATTGAACGACTATTTGAGCAACAAGTCAAGAAATGAAGGTCAGTGCCTAAATTCTGACCCAAAAAATGATTGAAATCGGAAATAATCAACCAACGTTATAACTCAAATGCCGGATTCCTAATATCCCTACATTGGAGACTTCCTGTGTGTGGTATACGACGGGTCTTCCGTACGTTTGGAGATTTTCTCCACCACGTTGAACTTTTGGTGATCGTCAATGGGTGGGTTTTCAGCCTCAAAAAAGACTAATAAAAGATAATTATGGCAACTTAATGGTGTATACTTGGTTTCAACCTTGAGAAGATCACTGAAATGAAAACCCACCTATCTGAAAAGTAACTTCATGAATATATAAGGGAAAAATTGTAGCAAGCAGTGTAGAACTTTGTCAAACAGGTGCCTTTTTATGACGGCTCCAAAGCTCCTCGTCGTCGCTAGCATCCTTTTAAGCCTCTTGCTTCAAGCGCCTTATGTTAGCTAAAAGATGACTCATATGATGTTTTAGACTAATAAAAAAAGGTAACTTCATCGAATGCTGACATTACATGACTGTGTAGTAAACAGTGCTAGTAAACGACATAAAAAAGAAAGTTATAAAGGAAATACTTGAAAAAAATCATGTACTGAATTGCAAAAAGACTTGTATAACTATCACAAATGCATACATACGAATTCTAAAAACCTTACACCTCATGAAAGCTGAGTTCAGGTGTTTCCTAATAACCCGATTCACCTTTTCCGGTCGAACTAGTCTCTCTATCTGATCGATATAGGAAAGCACAACGAGGACTAAATTAACGCACATAAAGCAAATCTCAAAAACATCCAAGCTGAGAAGTCCGACGTTTCCACGCGGAAGGTCCAGCTAAGAGTAAATCGTATCAGGAATGACCACCGTCTTGGTAGCTTCTCCTAGTTGTAAGATGGTAATCTCCCTATAATCATACAAGACAGCGACTTCTAGGTGTGGTGACGACTCGTAAGAGGTCCGGGTTAGGCTGACCCCAGGGCTCCAGGGAACAAAAATCAGCTCAACCAGCAAGAAAACTTCTGCTTCAGTATCCCACACACAACTTTTCCTGTCTACGACGCCGGATGGTGAGACGACCGACGAGAGGCGATCAAATCTAAGTTCAACAGGACATTATTGGTGAAGGACAAAACAAATACGCCCACAACATGCCAGAGAGACTGATTTTGCTTTGCACCTATAACTTTAGATCAGCCTCCTCAGACGCCGACCTTTACGCACTTCTTGAGGTCGCTGGTCACATCAAACTTCAAGTCGCCCTACAAAAACGAAAAAGAGGAAAAACGACAAAAGACAATCGAATGACCGAATTTCCGTCACTTGTAGAGCGAAGTTTCTGCCACGAATGCCGGAGGCATCACATTTCTCACTGAAGTTTCACGAGAGTAAAAACTACCGCTCTGTCTCACTTTCATCGATTTGAAAAAAGCCTCTGATTCAGTGGAAGCAAAAGTGGTCATAGGGGTTCTGGATAACCAGTGCGTCCCTTCTCGGTACATAATGATCCCCCGTGAGCTTTATAAAGATTTCACGACCAAATTATCTCCATTCTACGACAACATCACCATTGACGTAAGAAGAGGGGTTCGAAAAGGCAATATAATCTCGCCAAATTATTTACTGCCTCGCTCCATAACGTCATGCGAATATTACAGCGGTATGATATGGGAGTGAAAATTGACGGTCGGCCATTGAATCATCTTCGCTTTGCTGACGATATCGTCCTCATAACACCAAGAATCAGCCAAGAGGAACGAATGTTAACCGCTTTCGATAAAGCCTGTGGAAAGACTGGTCTTCAACTAAGTTTAATGAAAACGACGTTTGTGAGGAACGGATGGGTTTAAAATGCCCCGTTCACGCTCAACGGAACGAAAATCTCCGAACGCTCCAGCTACGTTTATCTAGGTCGTGAAATCAACATGATGAACGACCTAGCTCCAGAGTTGAGCAGGAGGAAACGAGAGGCTTGGAGAACGTTTAAGAGATCGAAGATGTAGTGAAGAGGACAAGGAACATCCGATTCCGTGCCCACCTTTTCGACTCGACGATTGACCCTGCTCTAACGTACGCAGTAGAAACCTGGTCGCTACGTAAGCAGGATGAAAGATCACTTGGCGTTATTGAACGCGCAGTCGAAAGGTCGATGCTAGGAGTATCACGTATCCCGCAAATGAGAGAAATGATCCGAAGTTCCGACCTACGTCAAGATGGAAGATCACAGACTCCGTTCTATGCGCCAAGATGTCAAAAATAAGGAGGGCTGGACATGTCATGCGCTTCAGCAACAACCGATGGGCGAGAGCCGTTACCGACTGGATTCCTAGGGATATCAAGCGCTCTACAGGAAGACCACCGACCCGTTGGGGTAGGCGTCGGTAGTGAAACTCAGATGGTCGATCATGTAATAAAAAGATCAGTAAGAAATGGAAAAAAACACTGAAGAAACCTCCAATAATAGAAATGCCCTATTGTAAGACCAACAAAACCATAAGCAGACAAGGAGTTTGGCTTTACGGAATAATGCTCTCGCGTACGTCACTATGCTCGAAATAAACCACCACCGTGGACGACAGTTGCGCAAGAGAGAAACGTTAAATTGATCATAATAAACTGTAATAGTACTGAATAACATATTTAAAAAGTTCTAAAATAGGAAGCTACTTCCAATCACTCCGTACAACCTTGGATACACAATGAATATGCGATGCTTTCAGCCATTACAGAGGTCTGTCGCCGCCATACTCGCATTGAACTCGTTTCTAAACTTCGACAAACGTCTCCGATTTCTAAAACCGCTTTCAATAAGCAAAGAAAAGTGAAAACTATGACAAGGCGTACGAAGGTGGGGATGGTCGAATGGCTAGTGATGCTCGACGCGGAATCGATTCCACATTTCCAACACTCTCTGGCAATCAATAAGGAACGCTCCACGGAACGCCCCTGTCTGGTTATCCTTGAGACTGCAAGAAGGCAATCTCAACCAGTATTCTACGATGTTCGTGGAAAAGATGAGGTCATTAAGCATGCGAAGAGACGAATCGAATATCAGAAAAACTGGAGCCAGCACAACAGGAAAAAAAATCACTGTATGGGTCAGATAAAGTAATGGAGTGAGGAAGTAAGGGTTTAAACTCTTCAAGGATGTCATGTACCACTTCATGATACGGGGTTTCTAGAAAACTCCTCTTTTGGACAGATCATTTCCTCCAGAAACTTAGAAGCAATTTGATAGCTCAAAAATAAAATACAAATACCACGCTCGATTTCCAATAAAGGGTCTTCCCAGTGCGCCATACTATCCAAAAGAGCGTTCCACGCTAGAAAGCATATTTTGCTCGGCTACAATGTGCGCTTAGTTGCATACGTAAGTATAATGTCCATATGTGTGCCTACGTGGTGAAAATTCCTAATTTTATTTGGAAATTTTCTCAACATAAAGTGTAGCAACGGCTCATTGAGTCCGTCATTGATGTTGAACAGATTGCTACGAAAAAAAGTTATTATGAAGTCTGTAGAACGTACTCCACGAATATGGCGACACCGGCGACGGGTAAGATGGTGCCGAGTTCGGTTTTGGGTACAGCGGTGGTTGTTGTGCTGGCATGGAGTACCCGACGGCTGAAGAGGAGAATACATGGTGTATAATATAATTAGGCTAACAGTAATCCAAATATATTTGATGGTCAACATTTTGTTGAAAAAAATTTTGTTTATGAAATCTACAGAACGTATGCTACGAATATGTCGACACCGGTGGGGAAGATGGCGTCGAATCCATTTTTAAGGACAGTGTTGGGGAATCTATTGGGTCCCGACGGCTAAAGAGGAGAATACATACCGAACGATATAATTAAGTTGACAGTAATCCACATATATGATGGTCTTTTTGCTAAAGAAAACAGATTGCTAAAAATTTTTTTCATGAAGTCTAAAAAACGTACGTCACGAGCATACCGAAAAAGGCCAGATTTCCACCTCGACGAAAGGAGATCATGCTGAACTTCCTGCCGATGCTCCACAAGAGGATGGACTTGGAAGGAAAAGACAGCTTACCACCCCGGCAGATGACAACCTCTCTGAACTTCGTGTGTGAGCGGAGCTCAGACGACGGCGGTTGTCCATTCCCAAAAGGGTTATGTTTGACCCGCCACTGGGGAAATGAGTTCCAGGCACATGTACATATATTCGCCCCTGACATTGCAGACATAATCACCCACTGATTTCCACACTCGGTGTTCTGTCTTTTCCTAGGCAAGCATAACCGTTGCCCAGGGTCCGCCTTAGTTAAGTCCCGCAGCTCAACGGTCAGTATACCGATTACATAGTTCCATGCTATCGTCGCACAGAATCTTATGTCGTCAATATGTATATATTATTGTTATATTACCATTATCATGATGTGCAGATATTTCAGGTTGTTGTTTATACGGATTAAATTCAACATCCATATCGTTGTCGGCATCAAACGTACTATTCAGTAAAGGACTATTCCATCTTCGCGCTTATCTACAACCCAAAGACCAGCGTGGCCTTAAAGAGAGCTAATCAACCAACGTAACAAGTCCAAACCACAAAGTCCAGCGTGCGATAGATGGAATATCGGGGCAGCCAGCAGAAAGCGCCCACTACAGGACAATGTCCATTTCAACCTCAAACATCCATCGCGTTGCAAACATCAATAGATCTCTCGATC